AGACATGTCACTCGGGAAAGGAATACCAGAAGCGACCAATAGAGCCTTGTGTAACTTTCCGGATGGCCTTTGGAGCATTACTAACATGTGCCAAAACAACAGTGAGTTTAGAGCGGCACTAGTCTATGGTAAATGGCTGTTAAAAATTCAAATGAAAAAGCTGGGACCTGAGCATGTTGATGTTGCAAGCTCTTACAACAATCTGGGTAATCTACACAAGGCTCTGGGCGACATAGATGAAGCAAAAGACTGCTATAAGCGTGCACTGGAGATTCGTCTGAAAAAGCTGGGACCTGAGCATGTCGATGTTGCAAGCTCTTACATCAATCTGGGTACTTTATACAGTGACCTGGGCGACACAGACGAAGCAAAAGACTGCTATAAGCGTGCAATTGGGGTTGGAATGAAAAAGCTGGGACCTGAGCATGTTGAGTAGGTTTAAAGCATTGGTTATATTTTAGTGCTTCCATTGGTATTTTACTATAATGATATACATCTCCAAATACGTATAGGCACGCTTACGGAACACCAAGGCCTAAATTAGTGTTTAGTTACTCGTTATGGTAAGAGAAGAAGCTTGGGCAACTCTTTGGCCTCTTTCACAATCAAAAACTAAAGTATGCACCATTACTTGATGTATCCACGCTATGTATGTTTTATCGAATTCTTCATATATTTACAGATTTTTGTTCTTTTCCTCAAGTAAACGTTTTTAACCTTGATTCCCATCTTTTAACAACACTGCAAGTTTGCCTCTTGGAAAATACAGTATCCGTTCATTATTTTAGAAGAGAGTATCCGTTCGTTATTAAGAGAGGATATATATTTTGGGTGGTCCTCTGTAACTAATACCTTTTCTTTTCTAAGCCCTGCACAATTCAATTTCTTCACAGTGTTTGTGTACCAATCCCGCCAGGTATTGCCATTTCCGAAGACGACTTTCCAGTTGGCACGAATTATATTGCAGAGGTAAGGACTTATCCTAAAAGGGTATCTATCTACATTCTGCCCGTAACTCTTAATTAATCTTGACGACCCCCATGTTATACTAGTGAACGGCAGTCATCGTTTTAAGCGTCATCATCTCTGTCTGAAGTACAAGTAAGAGCTACCTTAAAAAGTTAGGTGAAAAAAGAAAACAAAAGAAAACAAAACAGCTGGTGTGTCTTGAAACTTTTACTCAACTTAAGTTGAGGATGTTTCAAAGAGGCTAAAATGTTGGTTTAGCAAACTTAAAAGTAAAAAAGCGATTATAAATTATTGCAAAATAATCAGGCATTTGTTTGAAACTATGGGAAGTGTAATAAAATTTAATGCTGGTGTTGGTTTCATTTTTTTTTTTTTAATAGGGTATTTTGAATTACCTCATTTAATTTTTGGGTGACATATTTAATGTTTGATTCAAAACACTGGTTTACTAGGTTTGTTTCCTTTTAAAGGTCACGAATGAGGAAAATCTTCGGGAAAATCAAGTTGGTCCAAATGACGGCAACGAAGGTGACTGTTTACCCAACGGGTTTGAAGTGAAAGACATATTCGACAGTTCCGGCGGTGAGCTGAGCGCTACTCATGACTCGGACGTGAAAATATGTATTGCAAACGGCGCAATACCGATTGGCGTCAGCCAGGAAGTCTTCTACCGTGTGGTCTACGACACAACAGAGCTGTTGCAGGATATCCCCGTTGGACCTGATGAAACACTCATTTCCCCCGTTATTGAGTGCGGACCACACGATATCAGACTTTTAAAGCCTTCGGAGATTATAATTCCACATTGCCTCTATATGGGCAAAGCTAAAAAGGAATGGATAACTGTCTACAGAACTGACCCAGGTAATCGAGAAATCCCTGGGCTGAGTATTTTCAGCTGAATTCAAAGAAATGCATTAAATACATTAAATACTTTCGGGTAGATAGGACTGATCTTCGTTATGCTGTTACTGTACTGACGATTTTGTCATCAATGTTTGATTGAAGGTCCCATCAAGTGGGAGAAAATCCCCAACAAATCCAAAAGAAATGATCTGTCTAGAGCATGGTTCACAGCAAAAGAGGACTCCATTCACATCAATACCATGACATTCTGTTTCTGGTGCGTATATTTTCGTCGCGGGGCACCGAAAAAGAAAAGAGCCACAGTGTTTGCTAGTAAACCAAATCCCGGAGGTGATCTCATTCAATTCAGATTCTACATTTACAGTGACAACAAGGATTCACTGAGGGTAAGTTATCGTTTAAGTAGGATTTTCTTTTGTTTGAATGCAAGGCATCCACAAAATGCAACCGACTGTGTCAATCAGTTGTTTTAGACAGAAGTATTCTTTCCAATATTTTACCCACATACAGTGTGGCAATGAGGCATTTCCACTGATAACTGGCTTGAACTTGCACTACTCATGATTCAATATCATATCGCGTCATATCATGATCACTGGTTCATTGGTTCACCCATGTGATTCTTTAAAGTAATGTACGAGGGCACTAACATGGTTGCTTTACATCAAAGCGCCATCTTCGATACAAATCTTGACATATGATTGGTTGTTTTTTACCACAAGATACATAATCCTCCTCTCTGATTAGATATGAACCATATTTGCTTCCCTTCATTCATATATTTATTCCCAGGCTTATGTGCTCGACCATTATATCACTGAAAAGTAAGTTTGCGACTCAGCTCTGACGTTCTACAGTTAGATGAAAGCACGAGTATGTACATAGTAGTCTATTAGCCTCTTATTGCTTGTTCTTAACCTACTCTCATGGAAATGAAGCGACAAGGAGTGTTGTTAGTCCTGTTAGTCAGAAATTTATAAATTTGCCGGTGTTACAGTGTGCTGTCACCCAGTCATATTCCTTTATTTGGTAAGTGAGTTGCATTTGTCTGACAAAATATTAAAAATAAGGTTTCATCTAAAATTCAAAGAATGATGCCCTTTCATCTAGTCACTCTTGTTATTGCACGATTTACCACCTAGCTGATCCATATTTTTTGCCTTTAAAAGCGAGTGGAGACGCAGGATAAAAAGCTGTTCCCTGATTCATGGAAAGGAATGGAGAAACCCTTCAAAATGTACAACAACAGCAAAAAGATAACCGTGAAACTTGTGACGGATCCTGAGGAGGGCTGGGAATTAGACAAGACAGCTGGTGAGCAGGTGAGGAAATCAACAAAGGGTTGGGCTCAGTCATGAGTTACAATAAAACATTTTTGTCCCTGATAATTTGAACTGAGCTTGAAAGGCCCTTGGTAGTTGGTCGACGATCTTCCACTCAATATACATTGCATACAGTAAGAAACTCCTGAGTTGTCGATTATGTGGCCTTCTGATTACCTCTGAAAGTAGCTGTCTCAACAATGCACTTTAAAGGACCTCTTATTCTTTGTGAATTTTTATTGAAAGCGTTTTACTCCCGATTGATACAATATATTTCTCAATCTGTCATTCGTTGTAGGTGTACATCTGCGATGATTCCCACGGCGGTAGATTTCGATGTAAAGATGCGTGTGTTTTTGCAGTTGAACCAATGAAAGGTCGAGAAGTAAAACCGTTTACTTGTAATCTAACGTTCCAACAAGAGGGCCATGAAACAGCACATACAATCTACGTGAACCCTGGTTATCCGCTTGTGGAGGTAATACTGTATGTAGCTGACACGATCTGATTTCGAATAAAGTCCGTAAGATAGGTCACAGTCGTCTTTGAAAATAAAAGAGGAAAAAACGAACAAGAAAGGACAAAACATAAAATCAAACCAAATTTGGTGTAGCTTTCAGCTCAACTTTTTTTCTGTAAAGTTACAATCGCCACTAATAATAATTGCCACTAATAATAATTACCAAATACCTTATTCACACTCAATCTTAATTTCGCGTTCTTCGTGATTATAAAAGATCGCGAAATTGAAGACTCTGGAATGAAAATGCTTTTGTGTAATGTTAATGTTAATCATCTTCACGTGAATCGCAAAATTTATACAAATTCTTGAAAACATCTTTCATGCAGTCCTCAAAATTGCCATTAACTCGTCTCTTGTAGTTCTCATTCATAATTTTCATGTAATATTTTAACATTTGTTCCAGTTTATCTTGGAATTTTAAAAAGTTCAGACATTTTGAAAATTAAAACGCTTGAATCGCGAAATTCAATGTCCTATTTTCATATTTTCCTATTGATATCGAAAATAAATCCCTGCGAAATACTGTCTCGCCGAAATTTGCGAAATCATATACACGTAAATTAAGTACGAATAAGGTATATAAAACTGTAATTTTAGTCTAAAACGGTTTTTTTGTTTTACCGATAACCGTTTTGAATATTAATATTGATGATTTAGATATATGAAAATTCATATATTTGCACTGCGGTGGAGAGATGAAATTACGAGATCCTCGCAGCTAAGAACACTACTGCCAGTATCGCAGAGGTCATGGGTTCAAATCCCGTACGGGCCTGAATTTTTTTTTCAGGTCCTATTTACAACTACTCGTTTCAGTAGTGTTCTTAGCTGCGAGGATCTCTTAATATTAAAATTGTTTAATTCAGTATTCATGGACATGATTTTCCGGTATCCGAGCGATTCTACAACTTTAACTTGCTCTTTTTAGGGGTCGATCGAGCCGGCAAATGCTCGTGCGCACTCCAACAGCGCAGCTGGATGCTCGACTTCCTCAGCTCCAGAAGAAAGTGACAGGAGCAACATAGACGAACAACCAAAAACTCCTCAAGGTATCTTCGTCATCGTCAACGCAGCTATAATAACTATCATGAGAAGCTGTGGTTGAATCTATAAGATAACACCTCCTACGAATAAGCTTGTCTTTGTCTTGTTGCCAGAGTAGTCGGGCTTTTCTCTCAAGAACTTGATTCACGCTTTTAAACTCTCTGTTACGAATAATCAAGTGTTTGTGCTCTTTCTCCTTTGTTGGGTGTCTTTGCTTTTTGCGTTCTTCCTCAAACTTAGCGTGGTTAGTTTCTCTTCACTCGTCCGCCATTTTGTTTGGTTGTGTTTTCGCGACTTTCTTGTTAATCAATTCAAAGTTTCGCACTCAATTTCAATTTTCTGCAATGTGCGGTGTTAATTCACGTGTTCTTGGCTTGTCAGTATGCTGAAATTTTTTCATGTATAGAATAAATAGAGTAAATACAGTTTGATATTGGCAAATTGACAAACTGTGCTGATTCCATTTGTGAACATTTTAGGTTTGAATAAATCACAGTTGGTGAATTTTCCACGTCAAAGATATAGAAAAAGTGACGGTCTCGCAGTGACCTTATCTACTCTTAGACGCAGCAAAAGTGCATCTGGGTGCTCGAAGTCCCCAACATCAGAAGAAGGTGACAGGGGCAACTTAGACGAACAATCAAAAACTCGTCAAGGTATTTTAGTCATCTTTATCGCCATCGTCGTAGCTATGCCTACTATCATGAAAAACTGTCACTTAAATCTTTTAATAATTATACCATTTCCTTCGAATAATCTTTCCCCTCACCACATAAACATTTCATTTTCCACACGTTGACGTCATCTTATGATGATCTATTACTATGCAGACTCACGGCAACATGGAAGATATGTGTTCTGTATGATAAAAAAATTTTAGTGTCGCTTGTGGTGACTTTATCTATGCGTCTTTCCTGCTATTGAACAAAATTAAAGAACCTATCAAAATGCATAAATAATTAAGATTATAACATAACAATCTGCTACTTCTATTATTGCGGTGCAGTGTAAGCACATTAAATATTAAGTATCTTCAAATTCTCTCTTTGTTTTAGACTCGAAGCCCCTTAGCAGCTTGCTGGAAATTAGGCCATTACTTGAGAAAATATGTAACCGTCTGGACTCAAGTAGGCCGGGTGTTGGTGACTATCGCGATGTTTGTTCATATTATGGTATCGACAGTTTTCAAGTGACCGCAGTTTACGAAAAGCACACTGACGAACCGTCAAAAGCCCTCTTGGAACACTTGGCAGCTTCACACGAACAGCTAACAGTTGCCGAGTTTGTAAGTGTGTTGAGAAAAAATGCCCGGAGAAGTGACATTGCCAAGCTTTTAGAAGAATATGATAATCAGTAAAAAACATTTTAAAGAGGTCAGCGTTGTTTTGAAGTAGTTTTCATAGAATTTTGAAGTGCGTAAAATTCTTAAAAAGAAACGTCAATTGATAGCACGTTCGTCACAAAAAACAATTCCACAGTGTAGTAAATTTGGTATAAAGAGTTTAAACCGACTTTGTTTTGATGCGTTTGCTTTAATTAAACAAGTGCCTCGAGAGGTAAAGAGGGCATCCTACTTTGTAAACAGGAGTTATAAATGCCTTGTTCTATGTTGTTTTTTTTTAAATACCAAATTACTGTTCTATATTCTTTTCTAGGTCTCGTGTTGCACTGATTTAATCAGTTTTCAAATGGTCATTTTGCTCTAAATAAAATGTTATTATGGGAATTTCAGTTTTAGGCATTATATATAGTCACTGTTAGTGCGCAAGGCATCTGCTTTGTAAACGTTTAGGACAGCAGTTATATTCATATGATCATGGTAGTCTTGCCACAGGCAGACCAAACTCGCGTTATATACCATCGTTTCCCGGCATATTTTGGTCAGCTTTTTGCGCGTTTGATTTAATAATTTCTAACGAATACAAGAATGGTACAGAGATGAAGAGAATTCATAACAATAACTTAGAGAGCTTTTGATGTCATCGTGCTAAAATTGTTAAGGTTATTAAGATCGTGATCTACATCAGTCAGAGACTGAGATAGAGTATTCAGCACCAAGGTTGACCATCCAGTCGGTCAGTCCTTGGTGTTTCATTCATACTGATATTCCTAAGTATCAGCTCCATATACATCATAAGTATTAATTTTTTCTTTGGTTTGTTTATTTGTATGTTCGTTATTAAAATAAATTTTGACCACTTCTGATGTCGAACACATATGCAAATCAGTTTGTAATATATAAAGGGGGTAAGTTTCTAAAGAAACTGGTGCTGCGTCGGTGAAAGAGTATAACAGGGTGGTCTAGTGTTATTAATAATTAGTGTTATTATTAGCTGAGTTTATATCATAATTTGGCCACCGTTAAGAGTTTCAAAGTTGACGTTTCAAGCGTTAGCCCTTTGTCAGAGTTTCAAATATATGTTGACGAACTACCATAGGGATTGTTTCCCTTCCTTTTCCATCCAACCCCCCACCCCCCTCTGCCAAAGAAATAATTTTCTGCATTCTTTCACGTCACCAACTCCTCATCTTTTCCACCCACCCCTCCCCCCTTTCTTAATGAAGCACAGAACAGAACAGGCTGACTGTTCATAAATGTTTGTACATATAAACTTTGGGCCACAAACCTGAAGGGTCATTTATCTCCATTCGACCACAGAAAACGAAACTGCTATTATTATGGTATGTCAGGTTTGAGAGTGTTGCATTCCTAATACAGAGTCGTCAACATCAACACAAACAAAATATTGCCTAGGTTATCTTGCAGTTCTGTCACATTTACTTTCCTGCCGTGTTACAGATACTTTCTATTCTATTGTTCATAATAGCCTGCATTTATGCTGCAGCTCTTGGGTATACAATGCTCTGCATGCATAAATTCATGAAGTAAATTAACGTCCAACCATTCCACAACCATAAGTTGCAAATGAACAACAATTAAAGCTGGTGTAACTTACTCATTAAGGAAAATTTGCATCAATACTATCATAAACACCAGTGTAAATTTTGAACAGTGGTATAGATGCAGAACAAGGCAGACAGGAAAGCAAACAGCTGAGAAAAAAATTGGATCAACGTCACTATCTGGGTTACTGCGCACCTACCCCTCCCCTGACCAAACAATATGCCTAATAGGTGAGGCGTAGGTGTGCAGTTGTTGAGATACTGACATGGATCCAAAACAGCTAACTAGAGGGCAGATATATGAGGTAGAAGGCTTCTATCACCTCTTTCAACGGCCTTCAGAGCTTGACTTTAGCTTTTAAAGTATTGCTTACGGAAGCATTGCATTAGAAAAAACAAAAGAAGTGCTCTGTGTCATGTCTCTTGGTTAAAATGCTCTCTAAGTCGTAACTTCTCCTCCATTAACATGTCTGACAACACATGTCCTCCATTGGGGAATCCTTCCACTGGTGAGCCGAAGTATCCGTCTCACTAAAGACAGCCGCTGAAGAGAATTTCAGTTGTCTTGGCTCCGAACATGATTCCTCCATAGCCTCTTGTGACTGGGCTTTATCGCTAGACTCGGAAAACACGGCTAAAATTTTCTATAGCGCCTACCTATAACAAAATAAGAGAAAACTGACTTGAGATTGAAATATTTTACGAAGTGACGATCGGATTCGATTTTTCTTTCATGTAATCATCAACTCTTTTATGGACCTTTGTGACTGTTTTTATTTCGTTTCTTCTTTTCGTGTGTGTTATATTACCCTGATAATACTGCTGTGAAATTGCAATTGTCATAATTGTCAAAGGGCCATAAAACTTGCTCACCACAAAAAAACTAAAAAGCTTCATTACATAACGAAGTCAAGTGAATGCAAATTATATGTTCCTATACAAAGATAACTTTCCAAAACATAATAAACTTTTATGAACATCTTATCGTTAATAATTAGTCATACCAATCTTCAGAAGAGTTGCTTTTTAGAAAGAAATTCCGAACATATACTGTCCGTCTTCTTTGTTTATAGAATAATGTAATTTTGTTATTCTGTCATGCCTTCGTAAGTACCGACCAGGTTTTTTCTGTTTTTCGGCGTTTTTTGAACGCCATCTGTGCTTCGAGCTTCATGTTCGTTAGTAATGGTCACCCATCTCATTATGAGCTGGGGCGTCGCAAGGTTCAGCCCTTTGGGGTCTGTCCCTTTTGGGGCCTTTTTCCCCTTTTTCTGCTTTTCCGTCAGTATAGGCGTGCCAATGGCTCGCTCCATTGACATCCGATGTGGGTTTTCCCTACGGAGACATAGTCAGTAGACATTGTAGGTGACATTAAAACCTATTTTGCTGCCGACTCGTAGTACAAGATTGTTTCAATGCAGCTGCTTCCTGGCCGTGTGGCCAGGGTCACTTTTGATAAGGGTGGTGAGGCAGCCAAAGCGGCCAAAGCGCGCGGAGCTTGGCTCTGTCACTCTAAACGGGGTGGAGTGAGAGGTTATTTCCCCCCCTCCCCGTATATAAATGAGTGAGAGGTTATTTCCCCCCCTCCCCGTATATAAATGTTGTTGTTTATTATTTCCCTTTCGAGGGAGAAAATGAGGCATTGTTTCCGAAATGAAGCAGTTTGGGAGAGTAAACACTTGGCGCGGCATGCCAGATGTTTTTTCTGGATCTCGGGTTTTGCGCATGGTACGCGAGAAGGAAATCCCCCACGCGAGAAGGAAATCTCCCGCTTCGTTTCCATAAATGGAATACGGTGTAAAGTTTAGTACAAAGGCTAACCGATTTTCTGCGATGTGTGCCGCCGTAAAGGGCATAAGTCTGCGGCCTGCTCTAATAAAGGCAAATTCTTTAGGTGCCACCAGGCAGGGCACATTGCCCGTTATGGTCCAAATCCGGTGGAAGAGGGCGAAACTTCTTCAGCTTACTTTTTTTGTTTGGAGAGGAAGCGCGGTGCGGATATGTGGATCTCTGCCCTTAGAGATGGTGATAGCTCCATTGTTTCTTCTTCGTCTACTCTTTGTTGCACTTTTGCATCCCTTTATTTTTCTCTGATCTTTTCCTGCTTCTCCAACTGACCTCTTGGTTCAGACGGAGCTCTTGGATAATTTAACATCCGCCCTCGCAGGCGTTCA